GAAGAAACCGTCTCAGGTGAGAATAGATAGCTAGAATAGGTCCCTTCATAACAGGGGTGGACACACACACACCAACCAGTATTGTTTACTTGCCAAAGTGGAGCGAACGTTGTCTTGCAGGGAGTGGAATTCCTGGCCATGAAGAATAGTGAATAGTGTGATTGACAAAGCCACAAAGCAATGACTGAGATACACCAATACACGGCCCAAACCAAACAACTGAGAGACTGAAGATTCCTGTAACTAACCAGTGTGCTTGTAGCCGGCCCTAATCCAACACATGTTTCGAAATTAGGTTTAACATGGTTTAACCATGGCTGTTGTAGCATGCGGATGCTACCTTCGTGATCACCAAGTTCGTGTTGGTCCTATTTTTGCCCGCTCCGCGGCTCTGCTGAAGTCATGAGTGGAATCGTGCCATCATCGAGTCTCTTGGCATGAAAACACTGGAAGAAATGAGTGAAGAAACTGGTCCCGGGTCATCCTTAGCAACCACGCTGTTCTCTCGAACTTAGTACTTGAGTACAGCATTATTGGGGGGCGGTCCCACTGTTGAAGATTCTTTCATGGCAGAAAGCTTGCAAATTCACTGCAAGAATCAGTCAACTTGGCCGCGTCACCCCCCTCCAGTCCAGCATTTGACATCCACCTGAGACGGTGCCAGGTGGATGCTGAATCCGTTGTTCTCAGCCGTTTTCCGCATGTGCGAAAGGTGGGGTGCATTATATATCTTGAGCAAAGAGTAAAGAAAGGCACATGTAGCTCATGCAGCAAACGCAAAAGTCCCTGCAAACCTCTCCCTCGCCTATCAAAGTCCTCATTTGGCTGTCCAGCGTGTGCCCAATCGACATCTACGCTGCTCCAAGAAACTGACAAAGACCTCAAATTCTCTGAGTATGGGGTGCGGCATCTTCAACTACTAGATTTGACTCTTCTTGAGGACATTGTTTGCCCCGCCTCAATCCACCCAAACAAATGAAAAAGATTTGCAGTGAGCTGATCAAGAATCGTCCTATCTCTGACTTCAGCTGAGCTGCAAAAGCCGTCTTGGCTGTACAGGGTCCAGCAAGGACACTGCGACAAAAAGGAATGCTGCTAGGACCCCGAACCTCAAACCAGCGCACGGTCTCAGAACGATGAAACGCGTGGGTCCGAGTAACTGGACATCACGAAGGATCCGAACGGTCGTCCAGAACGACACGATCCGAATGTTGCGTCCATATACTGCTGTGGGACACACCAAGAACCCGCTTCATCTCCACAGTTGAGGGCTCAGAGAGGGAGTGTCAAATTTGCAGAAGCTTGAGCATCCTTGAGCCGGAAGGAGCGAATGGGATGCCGGAAGGAGCTAGGCTAGTTCAACACCGACACCACGAAATCAGTGTTCCGCAACACCGAGCGGTTGAAAAAGCCTTCAAGGATTTGCGCCTATATACCCAGAATTGAGATCACTTTGACTCTGGACGCTCAACGTGCCCAGCCATTCGCCTTTTTCACTCGCTTGGGCCCTTTGCCGAAGTTCGCTCAATGTCACAGCGCGTAGCTTTCGCTTTTGCAGACCACGCAGGAATAGCCGCAAGGCCTACAGAGGGGCTTGTCACGGCAAGAGTTGCAATGACATATGCACATGTTTCTACTAGAGTTCTGTTTTGAGAGCGAAAGCATATATACAGCATTGTACAACATATGTGTTACACAAGCAGACATGCTGACATGATATACAGTATATAACTAATTCTGTTCGGAAGGCCCAATCGAACATATCAGGGTAGCTAATGCAGTGTCTCAACTGAAGATGCACCCGCACCGCCTTCCTGTCACGTCTCCGCTGAGAGCTGCAGCTTTGAATGCTGTTCAAAAGACTGAGGAGTAAGGAAGCAACATTGCTCACCAAATCGTACTGTGACGCTATATCAAGCGAAACCAAATTGTTGACTCACAGGAAACAACTGGCATCCACTACCATCCACTTGCAGACAGGCATACAAAAGAGGACGAGGGGGAAAACCACTTGCCGCCCTTTTAGAGAAGGGTAGCCAAATGCAGCCAATTGCAGCCATTCCAGACGATCTCTAGCGAGAGAGGGGGGCTAGCCAGGTGCAGCCACTTCCACCCTTTCGAGACACAGCTGGCTGTCGAAAGAAGAAAAGCTGCAAAAAGCTGGGACGAGTCACTTGCAGCCAGCTGAGGCTATTTCTAAAGAGGGCCTGGCCACTTGCAGCTCTAGTGGCTGCAAGTGGCTACGAGTGGCTCGATACAAATCGTGCACTGTTTGCGTGCTCAATGTCCGATCCAACCAGCCACCTCAAAGATGAAGGAAGGATTGCTTCCCGAACGGTCGTACACACCCACAACCGAGGAATCCAACCAAAGCGTGGTAGGGGGTGTGGGTCAGCGCCAAAAGCTAAGACAAGAGGTTAAGATGTTCTCGCAATAGCCTTGCAGGGACATCCAGTCGCCAAGCAACTGGGCACAAGGCAGTGTTAAAGGTGCGTACACTCGGACATGAGGAACTAAGTGCATCAAAACAAGTCCATCATGTATGGCGATAAAGCACCTCGTAAGTATGCTGCCGGAAGCCCTCTTGGGGCATGTGCATAATGACAACCTCAAGGTGACTCAAAATGTGACTCAAAAGAGAAAGAAGACACAGGGTCTGAGTTCATGATTGAATGAGTCGGTCTGCATGGTCATTGGTGCCCTTATTCTTAAGCAGCCATGTGTTCATCTTGTCTTCACAGGTGGTTTGAGACTGTTTCTGCTAGGCGGCCGATCCTTCCTGCACCTGTCTCAAGTACACAGACGCGACACGTACCGGGTCTGGGATGGCCCAATCATCAGCATAGCAATCCTTAGCACGCCGCTCTTGGGCAAGAAAAAAACAACCCAATCACTCAAAGAACAAAAACAATGGTGTAACATTGGAAAATCAGGATGAACTTTGGTTGCACTGTTCTTTACGATTGCCAGCCAAGGCGCGCCCAATGCATGTGTCATGTTTCGGGCCTGCAATGGCAATGCTGGCTTTCAAATATCTATATAGATATTCAGGTGAATGACATTCGCATGTGGAGATCTCGAAAATTATCGTTCCTCGAAATGAGGATTGCTCGAAACCTCAATGTCCTTTTGACGAAACCTCCGCGAACCGCCCTGGGGCTTTGGCATTTCCTCCATTACGAAAAAACTCCTGCTTTCCATTACAGTGGGCATGTAAAGTCTGGACTAGGACCTTGTGGACAAATGTGGACAATATTTATATTGGTTCAGTGAAGAGAAAACCCATTCCCATGGTGCCGGTATCTAATTGGAGGCAGGAAGGCTGTATGTACATCGTCAGGAAACTTGGAATGGCAACTTCTGAGTACAGTACTACATGCACGTCGACGCACGACGTGCACGATGTGCTTGCACATCATCATTTCAGACTTGGTCCGGTCAGAAGTGGTTGCAAGCATGTTGTCCGTTTTGCCTGAACGGACCGAGGGATATGAGGTCCGTTTTTGAAGGTGCGAGGAAGACGATGTTCGCACAATCCAGCTGTGACAAGGACAAAGCAGCGGCTTTCTGGATTCCAAATGTCAAATGTCAATGTCTTCGGCGTTAAGGATAAAGTGCGGTAAGCAACATGTGTGCAATTGAATGGAATACTCAGGTGAAAGGTGACAATCAATCAACACAGCTTGGACGATTCCGGCACAAATATCTAAAGTCTGTCCAGCATGTTTTATGATTGATAAGAGATCAACCAGTAGTTTCATCTATGTAGCGTTTGTGGCTACAAGGGAATTGCACCAGTACAAGCCCCTTTTCGTGGAGGAGATACTGTGACAAACTTCCAAGAATTTGACCCAGGAATTTCTTTTGCAAGGAAAGAAACGGAAGCAGCTTCTGTGTGAAACAACGGCGTACCAACAGAGGCTTTGCTACAAGATAAAGTTGTCCAATTGAGATGCCCACAAGGAACTTCTTTGTCGTTGGATAGTTAGTGTGCAACCACCACACCAAAGCAGAAGTAGGTTTTCAAGAATTCATCCAACACACATCGCAAATTTTAACAATTGACTCAAATCATAAATGTTTATATATATAATATATAATATATAATATATATAAACAATATTTGTATATTTGTATAATATAACGATCTACAGTATATGTCATTAGCAAGTGATACAAGAATGAATCACTATTCTCAAATGTTCGTCACAGATTCACGCTCGACACCGGGATGTGACCTGCAAGACCTCTGCCATCTCCATGGTCAGCCGCGCTTGTGGCGCACGGAACCAGCGCTTCTGTGAAGCCTTCAAGAAGGGCCGCACCACATCATCCTCACAAAAGGCACTTGGTGCTTACTGGTGAGCAGTAAGGAGGTCAAAAATGTCGTCTCTATGGTACAAAGTAGGCACTTGGCCGATGAACTGTGATTTTCTTGCAGAAATAGCTAGCATGTCGCATGCTGCATTCAGCAAAGCATCAGTTTCAGCTAAAGCAGCTTCAAAGGACTTGGCCGAAGAAGAGGCATATTCTTTGTCCTCCGACACTGAAGTTGAAGAAAAATGGAAAGCTTCTCTGGAAGTCAGGCATGACTCTATTCAGGATTCCTGAATTGAGTGAATTTGGATGTATTGCGCATGAAGAGCCGCTCCTCAGGCATGTGATTTGCTGGTTCGTGGCCCTCAAACACCAAGCGAGGCAAGTCGTTGCCATGAACATAGTGGGAACCTCGGCCACTGCGCCATCTTGAAGCACGACTTCTTTAGGGCCCTCTAATATCTCCCATCAAAAGCCTCCAACTGGCAAAACGGAAAAAGGATGGGTTGCCGTTGCCACTGTCCCGTAAATTGTGTACACGGACGACTCAAGAAAAGGCTCAGCTCCCGCTCAGTTCCCACTGCACCTCATCCTCCCTTCTTAACCCTTTTCCCTCAACCCTTGATTGAACCAAGCATCTTAGGAAAAAGGTCGCCTTGGCTTCGAAGCTGCGAAGCAGCTTCAGCACCTCCGGGAGCATCGACTTGGACCGATCGCCTGGACAGGTGGATTGTGGATCGATTGGATTGGATCAACGGTGTCCAGGGTCTTGCCAGTGCAGCTTTGCCGTGTCTGCACGCGCCTGTTTCATTTTGGCGCACGTGCCTGCCTCGACAAATGCCATCGTCAATGGTCAAAGCAACTAGACCGCGCACTCCAGGAGAGGTATGGGCAGAGAAGAAGAAGGTCGTATTCGCCAACTGCGGGAAGACTTCCTTCCTGAGCTCTGGATGTCCACCCTTAAAAAGTTCCGAATCCGTCTGGAGACCAGTTGGAATGGAAAAATACAAGTTTGGCATGCTGTCTGCCATGGCCCTGAAAAATGATTGGTTCCTTGATCTATACGGGCATTGATGGACATCAACCGTTTGGGCGCCGAGTCCATCTAAGTGGCGCAAGGAAGACCACATTCCGTGGGCCCAGGGAAGTCACGATGCTCCAAAGGATCCAAAGGCCATACTGACCCCAGGTGAGCGGAACAAGGGTCAACCTGCGGGGATCGTTCGGGGAAACTCGGTCGCCAGAGTTGCCAGAGTCGCATCACGAAAAATGACACTCTGTCGCCTTTCAAAACACCAGTTGATGGTAGTGTGATTTGGTCAAATCATGTGTTGCTTTGGTCGAAATCGTCCAAAGCATGAAACAGGTGGGCTTGTTGGTTGCACCAAACATCACTACATACGGAGCACCACTACGAAGTACCACTATGAAGCACCGACTGCATCAAACGTCGTTTCGAGGTCTGTGTCCTTTCGGCGCGTTTGCGGTGCCTCCCTCTTGGAAGGCCATCTGCTGACACGTGGGAGAAGATGAAGAGCTGTCAGCTTGAACATCACAGCAAACACGGTCAGGCTTTAAGGCTTTTGGATGAGATAGCTTCTATACTTTCAGACAAAGGAGCTACAACATATACGAAAAGGAAACGGTGTGTAGAAAAGGGACGTGTCTGGCCACCAGAAAAAGAGCTCATACGCTGGTTCATGTGTCGGACGTGTCTGCACATGTCCCTGACACCAAGTGCGGGACACCGCCTGGATTGCGACCGTCCAAACCAGTGCAGCCACCAGGCACAGCCATAGGCGTGGACGCCGCATGCCAAAGGTGCTGGTGCTCATTGAATTGAGAAATATAATATTGATAAATGTTATTGCATTTCAAGGAGACTCTCCAACCAATGGTGTTTCAGTCTATCTTAGCTCTCTGACCCTTCGCTTTGTCTTCCAGGCTTGGATAATGTGTCACTGCCGATCACATGGACAGGATCCATGGATGGCTGGAATTGCTCTTAGGGGGAGGCCATCACTATTGGGTTGGAGGCCATCGCCAGTAGGTTGGAGGCCATTGCTCTTAGGGGGGAGGCCATTGCTTAAGGCAGACCTCCATAGAACACTGTGGCTACCATGACAAGTCGATAAGAACAGTGGCCTTGGAGCCCGAGAGTCCGAGAGGTCGCACAACACATGCAAACGATCGTTGACTGAGACGATCGTTGACTGGGACAGCAAGAGCTGTCGGAACGACACCCACACGACCGATTTGTTTGTAAACTCTGTTTCGCTGCGGAAGCATCTTTTTTGCTCTAGGCACTGAAAACAAGCGGGTTTGACAGCCAATGGAATGCCCACCTTACGACTTCTCGTGAATCGGTGACAGCAGGCTAGCAAGCATTCTTGCGCCCTCCATTGACTTCAACTGCTCCGCATCCTGTACACAAAGATCTGGCCTGCAAACTTCGAATGCAGGATCCACTTCTGTTGTCTTTTCAAGCATCGCTGCAAGCATCGATTTCAGATTGGTCAATGCGCAAAGCGCCTCTTTGTCCGGCCCGTCTCCTCTGTCAGACCAGTTGACTGATCCATATAATATAAAGAAAAGAATGTGTATATATATATACATACACATATATGTATACTGTATACCCATGTATGAACAATTCAACAATCACCAGTCCCATGTGCTCATTAGTTGTCCGTGACCACCAGTCTTGGCTATCGCCGTCTGTTGTTTCTTGCTCATTGGACTTGAAAGCTCCGTGATTTACACATATTAGCAAGCCTCTAGCCTCCATCTTAAGTGCAAAGAGTGTGTCAAACATCAAAGCAAAATCTGACATTGCTGCATCGGCTCCGATGAATACCGCGTTGCCAAAGTCAATCAATTTTATTTTAAGTGATTCTTCCTCGGCTTGGCAAAACTCCGAAAGGGCTGGCAGTGAGCATTACAAACGTCCTTCAACCCTTGCTTATTCAGCTAATTCTTTTCAAAGCGGGGTGATGAGTGCGACAGGACAAACTGAAAAAATCCGGTGACGAAAGCACCAAGCGTCGATGCACGCGGCATCTTGGTTCCAAATTGCTTCGGCATCAAGCATGAAGAGCAGCGAGGCTCCCCAGAAGCGAAGCCCATCAAGGCTGGCGATGACACCTCGCTTGAGCGACAGTGCAACTGTTGAGGGAAAGCAATGGTGAAAAGTTGAGGGGTATCATGCAACTTGGCCTAGATAAACTCATAGAAGGATCAAAGGAGCATGTGCTCCACCTGTTTCCATGCCTGCGGCTGCCTGCGTGTCAGAAATCTGTGCATGTCATTCCACCCACGCCTTCCAAAGCATGTATGGTTGAGATTGATTTGAGCACAGATTTTCTGAAAGCACCCTGCAAAGGCCATGTCCTGAGTGTGTTTGGACACGTCGACTGAGTCCTGTCTGGTGTACATATCAGGTCTCTTTGGTGTGAGCCTAAAGAGCAGGAACAGTGGACACCTGAATTCAATTCAGAATTCAGCATGTTACACATTTTTAATAGAGCTCCACCAGAACCAACGAGCCAATCTAGTGATGTTTCTACTATTTGTATGTGGAGAGACCTGGCGAAGAGTTTCATGGTGCTGGTGGGACGGGCTGTGCCCAGCTTAATTTGCATCCGGTTTCAATACTTTCTTGTTGCACACCTGGACAAGGCTTCAGCAACACTGGAACTGGCTACATCCTCACAGACGTTCTAAGATTAATCCACCTATCAAAGAATAGGACCTATTGACGTTAGAAACAGATTAAGAGAGGAAGGACAACACAAAATATCAATCTTACTACTAGGAACAAGAAGCTACTAGGGGCTCCTGGCATCGCTACTAGGAGCAAGGACGCTACTAGGAGCAAAGGGCGCTGTTGCCGAAGGCTCCGCACCGACTGTCCACCAAGCTTCCGCCCGGGCTCTTGGTTGAAGAATTTCCCAAAGGCAGACACAAGGTCAGCAGCTTGCACCAGTTGCCCAGCATATTTGTCCTCTTTGACCTCGCATGTGCAAAAACTGTCGCAACAACAACGGATGACGATCATCTTGATCGTAAAGTGCGGAACAGCTTCTAAAGGAGTGAGAACGCCAGGATCAGAAATGCACAACATGCTCTGCTTGCAACCCCCCACTTCGCAAGTGCCCCTAGCAAATCCGCTTAAAAAACACCGCATGACCGCAAACTCATGACTGCACAACCAACGAGCGGACGGCCTGCCTGTATGCCACTCTTCCAGTCCTTGGGAGAGATGTCTTCTGAGGCACCGTGTATTGCATCAAATCGAGCACAAAACAGCACTGGTACAAGGCAAAGTTGAGGGATGGTAAGGATTGCTCAGCTAGAGCAGTAGTTCGTTTCAATTTGCAATCTTTTGGCAATGCTGGCAGTACATAGAAGCTGTAGTGACACTATCTGCATCACAAGCAAATGTGTGGCAAACATGCAAGCCTTTTGTCTTATTTTGCATTATTGAAATTTAGGCAAATCTATCTTGATTCCAAGAAAATGGAAGGCTGAAGTGCCAAGCAAAGCACGCAGTAGGTCAGGCCACAATGCCTGAAGCCTACCTTTGCAGAAGTTGTCGCAGCGGCCTTCACACGCATCGACTTCCACTTCGCATCACTGTGGTGCGCAGCACGTTGAACCTGAAAAGTTTGCGAGTAGTAGTAGTGAAAAGCTTGTCCTTCCCAGAAGTCGATTGCGATTTCTTTGTAGAGGTGACAAGATTCAAGGTGTGAAGAATACTACGCCGACTGGCATTCCTTTGCATGACACAACAGTTATAAATCAAATTTGTTGCAAAATGACTTGCAATCGTTCCATAAAGTAAAACAATACTCTTGCAAAGGTCAGATGCAAAGCCCAGCTTTACATCGCATTGTACAGGATTCGAAAGGGCGACATCCTCTAGCACCAAATAGTCTTCGTTGCCAAACTCTGTGCAGACTAAAGCACAACCGTAGTACATCGGCCTCAGAACATATCCAGAAAGCACTAGAAGCAAAAGCGCCTCTCTGCCTGCCTTCTTATCAAACAAGACATAAAACTAATCAAAAGATTGTAGACCAGCCCAGGAGCAAAAAACTTTCTAATGAAGCACATTCCTCAGCCTCATAAAAGGCTTTCTCATTCGCTGTCGCTTTTTTCAAGATGATCTGCCTGTCCGGTCGGACCACCTGTGCCTGTCCACGACGGACAGCGGTGATCACCATGTCGCACTTGGGTTTCAAGAAACGCAAGTGGCCACCCACCGTGTCGGTGCACTCGAATGAGTCCAAGTCATGGATCACCTGAACATGGTGCAAGTGGGATATCGAGGCGTTGGTTGGTTGGTTGGTTGGTTGGTTGATCACTTTGTGCCTAGTCAAAGACATACCTGATCCAGCCTCATCTTCCATCAAAGTCTCTTCCCTCCAGTTGCAAACGCACGGCCATGAGCATTGACCCATGCAGCATTCGATAACTTTGAGGCTTGAAACAGCGGTTATTGAGTGAATCATTGGTGAATCCCATTAGACCTGTGTTTGGAAGCACGCACGGCACAAGAATGGAATCTAAGGACCTAGACTTAGACATCTAATTTCATTGAAAGGCTGTAAATGCCACAGGTCGCCCTGCAGTGTGTTAAGCATTGGATTCACTGACCAGGCGCATCGTTCTATCTGACGCGGCGGTGTCACTGCTTTGACGTCTTCGAATCTAAACCGCTAGGCCGATCGGCTTCGGGTCTGCTGATCAGGTTCGCATCAGATCTTGAGACCCTCAGGCATCCACGTCTTTGCTCTCTGGCAAAGCTGTTTCGACCTCAGAACAAACCCACGCTAATCCTGGATAGTTCCCAAAGATAGTTTCCAGAAAAGAGGCCAGAGTCGGGGCAGGCGGAAACAAATAGAATCATATACAGGGGCATTTAATAACCCATACCAATTGCTTGGAGGATTGAAACAACGCAAGAATGTGAAAAAAATACTCTCACAACTCTGAAAATTTTCGCCTCATGAGTGATCTTGAAAAGTCCGGCAGCAGCAACACCACCAAGAAGTTCGAGCACGGTGTAGATCAAAGCCTGCCCACAATAGAAGGGTGGACCACCAATGATCAGTAAACAGCCAATATATAGTTGTCATGATGCACACAACAAAGGACGTGTGCAATGTGTGTGCGTGTGCCAGGTCTGAGCTGGCCACATAATCTCCAATTTGGACTGAATTTTCATTTGGTGCAAATTTTACACCACCTTCGCACTCCAATAACTGTGTTTGTCGAGCACCTTTGTTTCCAAGGTTCTTCGTTCCAAACTCTAAGCTTCGAGATGCTAATCATCACAAAAACATCCCAGCACACCGTCAGCATCATGAGATCATCACCCCTCTTCACCACAATGACTGCGCACCCCAGTCAACCGCAAGCTTCAACACCACTGGGCAACTTGCGAGGTCAGTTTGTCTATCATTCCGAACATTCCCCAAACAGTTCACTGTTGGAGCTCTTTGAAAAAGAATTACGCCAGCATAGACCCGCGTTTCATAACAAGCGCACTCAGCAGGGGGCGCGCAGGGACACCACCACCGAAGCTCAAGAGCTCACAGCAGCGGCACCCTGCAGCGGCACCAGCACCCAAGCCCCCAAGCGCACGCAGCAGCGGCACCTTGCAGCAGCACCAGCACCAAAGGTCCCAAGCGCACACACCAGCGGCAACCTGCAGTGGCACCAGCACCAAAGGTCCCAAGCGCACACACCAGCGGCAACCTGCAGTGGCACCAGCACCAAAGGTCCCAAGCGCACACACCAGCGGCAACCTGCAGTGGCACCAGCACCCAACCCAAGCTCCCAACCGCACACAGCTCTGTAGCGGCACCAGCACCGAAGTTCCCAAGCGCACACAGCAGCAGCACCCAGCAGCAGCAAGGCCAGCACCCAAGCTCACAAGCGCACTCAGTACCCCAAGCGCACACAGCAGCGGCGCCGTGCAGTGGGGCACCAGGCATCAGTGTCCTGCAGCGGCATCAGCACCCAAACGCACACAGCAGCAGCACCCTGCAGCGATACCATCCCAATACAGGCGTTGCCACCAGCATTGGAATTCAAGGAGTTGACGCCAAAGAATAATGCTGAAACTGTTTGGGGTCTATGTAGTTGGCTGACGTTTTTGCTTTTCAATTGATGTGCGCTGGCACTTACGTCATGAAGTTGATGCTACGTTGGGGATGGGGGTGGGGTGGGCATGTTAACGTGTGCTGGCACTTACGTCATGAAGTTGAGGCTACGTTGGGGATGGGGGTGGGGTGGGGTGGGGTGGGGTGGGGCATGTTAACGTTCGCTGGTACTTACGTCATGAAGTTGATTCTACTTTTGAATGCACTTGACGCACTTATGGAAGCAAAGGTGACAAAATGAAGTAGTTTGTCCGGACGTTCTGGGCTATCCATTTTCACATGAAAAGAATCATTCATTGTAAAAACCAACACGAAAACAACGTGTCATGATGATAAAACGAAGCGGCGTTCTATCAGCCGCCTACCATGTTTTTTATTCTCAATCAAATTTGGAACATGGTAACCTCTCAAGAAAAAGGTACTCTACTCTACCCAGACTTGTCACAATTGACAACAGATTTTTGCCCTGCGTAGCGCCCCCAATTCTTTGTGACCCTGCAACTCTGGGTCAAACCGGCAGATGCTGATTGACCAATCTTTAAGGGCGTGGATGATGGTGACCTGTGACTGTTTGCATCACTGTTTGCGCCACGTTGTTGTTTTGAACATTCACAGTCTGCAGCTCATATTGTCTAGAGTCTAGAGCAATCAAACTAGGAGTAGCATCACTATCGCATCGCCATCAAAGATCTTTCAGCGAATTCGGCCAAACCTCTATGGAGAATCACAAAGCCGATGCGAGCTCAGCACTCCAGTGATGCCCAAAATCTTGCCTTGTAGAAGAGGCCACCGTTGATGAGGTTTGCTGTGGCAATGCCGAACCTTTGTCGAAACAATGGAGCCGAACCAAGGGTGAGCTAGGATCTACAAACAACAAACGAAGTGAGAAGAACCACCGCGGTCGATCAGACTCTCGCGGTCAAACGCGTTTTCGTCTCGGGTGCTCAAGGCCTGCGGTGCGGTCAGCGAGTGAAGGGAAAGATCGATCAAGACATGTTTGGTATCATGTTTCTCAGCCCCCAAAGAGTGAAGTTCCCTTCATTCGCTAGGCTGGTGTGGTGAAGCCCATGAGGAAGCCAAACTGTGACTTTTCTTTTCCTGACATATCAAACGCCGAATCGGCAATCAAGAAGTGTCGAAGTTTGGACTCCTCAATGGCGTGTATCTTCAACTCCAGCGGGAACGTCTTCAAGTGACGCACCAAATCGTTTGCCTGGAGGATATGAGAGAATTTTGGCTCTGGAAAGGCTGATGCCAGAATTGAGGCTCCTGCAGCAGCGTCTGGGCGAGACTCTCTTGCCACCCAATTGAGACTGGCGATGAGCCCTCTCAACTGCGTCTTCTCTTTCTCATTGAGAGGAATTCGATCAGCGTCCTTCTTCAGGACTTTTCTCGCCATGGTGATTGGCTCCAAGCGAGTGTAGATGAACTCTTCCATGTGGGCAACAAAGCTGTAATCTTCAAGTTGACGAAGATATCTTCCAGCGTAGCTGGTGCCTTCACTGCTGTAGAGCTCCTCAATCTTTCCAAAGGTCAAAAGCTTTTCCACCTTTGCCATCAGTTTCTGATGCTCTGGTCCTCCGGCTTCGATGATATCGTCCACTTCGATCACCATATAGCCCGCTGTGAGCTCTTTTCCATGTCCAGTGCCCTTGCTTGGAGCTGGCAAGGTGAGGACGCATTTGTCATACTCGTTCACCTTGTAGTGAAGCTCTTCAGTTGCCAGCTTCAACAGCGTTCTCCTCCACCACGACGGCCCGGAAACAAGGCCATAGATCTCCGTCAGGAGAAGAATCAATTGCCTTGGATCACAGCCAGGTAGAGGTTCATCCTTGGGTTGCCGGCAAGCAAGCATCTTGGAACGAGTCGTCGGCAGGCTTTGCAAAAAGGCTGTCTTCACATCCTTCACCTTTGTCTTCCAGCGTCTGGTAGCGCTGAGTTGCAAACAACAGTGGATTGATGCTGACAAGGGTGTAGGTGCACTTCTTTCAACCTCATGGATCTGAGGATCCAGCCAACCGACTGCGCACAGGCGGCTCTTGGGGTTTTGCTGATCTTGCTCAAGCTCAATGGCTTCAAGGTGCCCTTCTTGAATTGCCCTTCGCTTATATTCAGCCAGTGTAGAAAGCTCGACACTCTTTGGCTTGTAGCGATCGACGAACTTCGAGTCGATGATCTGACTGGGGTGAAGTCGGGCGAACTCAAGGCTTTCTTCGACACTCAGGATGCGCACTGCTTGATTCTTGATCAGACTGTCCATCTCCTTCTTTCGGGAGGCCCGGAACTGGACTTTCGTTTCTTCTGGCAGCTTTGAGAACTCCACCTGTCCAAACGAGGATTTGGCTTTGGACACATACACGCACCTGTCATTGTAGTCGAAGCTTGCTTCGGCACTGTGTGACCAAAAGGTCTTGGTGGAGTGGATCTTGTGTGGTTGCAAGATCTGCCTTCGCTGCTCCCGGTCGTAGCGCCAAGTTGCGCCGACGAAACTGCCAGTAATGCCCAAGCCTTGCAGATCTTCAGCCTTGTCAAAGTCGGTGAAGTCCACAAACAAGGAATGGCCTGGAGGCCTTGGTAGTGATGGCGGTGCCTCAAAGAAAGGATATGGAGTTGGGCGGTCATCTCTCGCTCGAGGCGCTGGCCCAAAGCGAAAACTTCCGCTGCTGCCTTCATCCACCCGGATGGGTGATGCGAGCTCTGGAGGTGGCCCGCTTGGCAAACTTGGCGTCTCGGGCTCCTCTTCTCGCATGACTTCATCAGTCCTCTCTGCGCTTTCCATGACTTGGTCTTCTTCAGGGATATCTTGAAGTTGTGGAGTCTCTGGGTCCATAGCTGAATCCATAAAGCTTACTCCCCGGCTTGGTGGCGCCGAAGGTCTTGATGGCTCTTCTTTGCTTGGTGCTCGACTGGATGGTTGAGTGCTTGGTGCTGGTTGATCGTCCAGGTGAGTGGATTCAGTCATAGTCATGTCCTCGTCGTCCTCAATGGCTGGAGCTGCCTGCGATGGTGCACCTGGGTCCTCGATGCGAAAGAGTCGAAGAAGCTCCTCCTCTTGG